ATCCGCGGACTGTCGGGGAGAAAAAAATAGTCAGACATTAGACATGTGCGGAGGTGAAGCTTCAAGGACTAGCTAGTTAGTATTACAAGGCGAACGACCATAAGAGTTACGAAAGCGCGCGACACCTCCACGTTGGCCCTTATCAGATCATTAGAGGAAACTCACTCGCAATCAATTGGGCCGTGTTAACCTTTGCGGGGAGAGAGAGCAGAGTTAGTTAACACCATTCGTGATAACGAGCTCTTTTTGGGGTCGCTTTGCAGCAACAGTCGTCTCGAGGCACGAGCGAAGAAAAAAAGAATACACATATTATTGTGCGAGAGCCGCGCGCGCGAACGCTGATAAACCCTCCGAATCACATTTTCGATATCGGTAATCGAAAATGGGTCAATGACATGACGAATTACGCAACGGTAATTTATAATAACTCGAGCCGATCGTTCGCTCGCGCGCATACATTTTTTTACACGCGTGTATGTATGTATGTATTCCTGTAACGGATGTACGTGCGCGATACGTGAGCAAGTTCATGACCGTGAATTAGATGAATGGCCGGAATTAGAAATGCTTTGTATTCGTGCTTGATACCGCTCGCGCGTATCCCGATGCATATTCCACGCAAGGAGGATTATATTCAACGCTAAACAGAAAATTCACCGAGAAAAAAGAATTCATTATTTTTGAAAAATTTATTCCGTAGAATATTACTTCAATTCCCTTTATCTTTTCTGCAAAAAAATATATATAATATTACTATATTTTATATAATTAATTAGCAATCATATACTCTCTTACAAATGAATTATATTTGCTAGAAATTGGATACTCGAGATGAATTACTGCGAAAAAAATTGCTCACGCACGACGCAGCGACCTAAAGCTCCGAATCTGGCGAGAGAAAGGGATTAACATTGTTGCGGACAAAGACACGCGTCTATTTTCCACATCCCAGTATCTTCCTACGCTCTCGTGCGTGCGTACGCACGCTGTTACGTACACTACTCGCCAATTTATCGCAGTGGCAACCTCGAGATTCACGATCGCCTCTCCACGTGTCGTTTCTTACGCGTATCGCAATGTGTGTGCGATCTCTCTCTCTCTCTCTTTCTCTCTCTTTTCTCCTCGGTTCACCATACTCTTTTTTTCTATTTTTTTTATACCTTGCTTTTCGTAGCACTGTGCAACGAACTTCGGGTTACGTGCGAAGAAACCGACCTTGGTCCCACGCGGCCATTGGCCGGGCTCAAAGGAAGCACGATCAGCGATTGGGCCGTCGACGAAAAGTTGACGGACGAAGCTGACAAGAGCCGAGCCGAGCCGAACCGATACATTAGGCCAATATACATTCGCTCGTCTTTGCCTAGCACACTCTGCATCATCGACCTTGATGGGGCATTGACCGCCGGTTTCCCTTCCCTTATAGCCGCGTGTGTATTAGAGTTTGGTCTCTTGCTCTAATCAAATCGGCGACCAGTCTTATCTATTCGCGAAGCTTTCGATATCACGGCGTTTCGCGCAAATCACGGGGGATAAGCGACCAAGGTCGCTCCACGTGACTTTTCCGGCTCCTCCTTTGATCTCGGTTCAATAAACACGTGTAATCTCGTGTTCGGAATATTTTGCGACGATTTGGGAAATTTGTGTCGATCAATGTGAAAAAAAAAACATTTCCAATTCTATGTTTTAAGATAAGATTGGAGATTCTTACTCTTTTTTACAACGTTTTATTATTTTATTTTTGATGCAGAGAAGTAAGGATTGCTTCTTCAATGTATTTGAGCAACATGTTTGGAGCTGATAAAAATCACGGCTCCACGACGTATCGGTCGCTGACATTGGAACGAAATTGACATTGACTTATAAGCTTGTAATTGTTGATTTTACCCGCGGCGTTTATTACACGCATTCGGTCACAGTGCACGTACACGTAAAGGCCTCGAATTATTATTGCGCGTAGTAGGGAGAACGATGACCGTCGTAAGAGGCTACGTCGAAAACCCTAACTCCCAAAGAGCTCTACCGGCTGGCCTTGGAATATGAATAGATTGCTCGCGAGGAGTGCATTGCACTGTTGCGTAACTACGCGCGTTTTATTTGCAAGTTTTGGACAGGCAAGAAGCTGTGCCGGCAATCTCGCCTCTCATTATTAAATACCATTCCGTAACTCCGCCGCGAAACGCGGAAATATACTTGCAAAATATTTCTTCAACTAACATGGAACGCATAAAAAAGTAGTGCAAATAGAGTATCATAAATATTTATAGATAACGTTCAGACGTTTCTCAGATATACATTTAACATTTCATTAAGACATTTAATAACGATTTAATAATTTTGCAATTTTTCTTATTATTTTTGCAAAGAATTGTTTAATATCTATATTTATATAAGTAAAAAGATATTTGTTTTTCGATCGAGCTTTTACACACTCGCTGCGGCACTTCGATGCTATCGCTTATCGATAATCGAACATCAATCAAACTTTACGATGGCCGCCTCCGATCGGAATTTTATAAATATAGTCCTTCACTATGAACAATATCTAAATACGCGTGCAGAGTCGCGTCGCGCGTTATCTCTACTCATTCAGTAACAGCCCCCGACGAGTCGATGACGGCGTTACGGAGTATCATAAACACACGAGGCAACTCGCGTTACGCAACGCCGCTTCTGAAATTCTTTGCTATATATATATATATATATATATATATATTTTGCATATGCGCTCTGATAACGGAGCAACAATCGTGCCTGGCGCGCATATATACGCGTGCGAGAAAAGGACTGAGGCATCTCGCGAGTTTACCACGCGACGCTCGCTCACATTACAAGATTTATTAACGCCGGGACTCTGCACACCCTGATGAACTTTGCATATTTCATTTATTTTTACAAGTGTGCCGCAAACTGCGTTGTCGCTTCACGTTTCATCCATTACGCACGCGGTTCGCAGATGTACGAGGGAGGAAGAGGGAGAACTTTTCCTCTCTCGTAACGAAATTGTCGAGAGAGTGAAACTTTCCTCTCCGGCTAAATGAAACAAATTTTCTTTCTTTTAACTCGGCGAATCTTTCTCGCTTACGCGAGCCGTTCTATTGTTCTCGTCGCTCTCTCGGCGCAGTAACGCTGCGTATCCGGATTCTACGTTGACATAAGCGATGGCGCAAGTCATCAGCATAATCGCGAAATGCCCACGCTCGCACACGTGGCTCGATCGCTGACCCTTGCATAATTTACGTAATGAACGGAGCATATATATATTTGATACGAATACCTGTAACGATGTGCGATTCTATATATTAAAATTAAAATATTTTTAATTTGAAATTAGAAAAAAAATTAGATTTTCCTATTATAATTAGATTGGGCGAAAATTGGCAAGATTGCCCTTCATTTATTTCAAGTAAACTACTTAATTTTTGCTGATTCTAGGGAAGGGTAAATGTCGCCCTGTGTTCCTCCTGTAAATATTATCATTATTCGTCGATTAGAACACAAGAATGCAAAATTATTTTTTATCTCCAAAATTCGAAAATTAGAAATGGACACGTTATTATTACATGTGCAAGATAAATTTACGATATATGATTTCGGTGAGAGCTTTGTAGGAGAACCGAGAGAGCTATCATGAAATGGAACCGCGGTATGCTCTCCTCCTCGGATACCGCGGTAAATTCAATATTCGTCGGATAAGAGGCTTGAAATTGGGCACAACGGGGAGTGCACGGAAATTTGATCCGCGAGGAAGCTCAAAGAGTTGGATACACTTTGTGTCCTACTCGGGAGCCACTCGGAAAGACAGGTGCTTTAAGCCACCTGGTCCGTGCCCTCGTCACCTTTCTCTTTTCTCCTCTCGTACTTGATTTCCTTATTCGGCGAGGGTACTATCGCGCGCGATGAGGCTTCTTCCGCTTCTTCTAATCGACGAAGCGCTTTCATGAGATGTTACATTCTCTTGAAATAAAGGAAGCATAAAGAGAAATAAATCGGAATGAAATCATTCCTTAATAACGAGATATGTACACGTTGCATTAATTTTGTCGATAATGAAACAAACTTCGAGTAAAATCATAACAAGAGAGATATATAGTAGGTACCTCTTTAATTTCAATAAATTTATGCATCACGAGTGAAATTAAACACGAAATCAAATACGAGGCGAGCAAGTAACTTTTGATAACGAGCTATATATATAAGAGATAAGAGGGTCTATATTATCAAACTATACTAGCAAAGAGAGCAGTTTCTCTTTAAATTTTAAATAACTATACATGTATATGACACAACACATTTTTTTCAAACACTCCGAAATATTCGGCTACAATAATCGGTTGTGCGGTCACGGCTCTTTTTTTTCACGCGCAGCCGTTTCTGAATATCTCGGGCACCCTACGTGCAGCGGTCGTTCGTGTCGTGTTACACGCCCGCGCTGCTCGTGCATTATACTAGCTAGCGCGCGCGTGAATTATGAATTACGGAAGATCGTGTCCGAAGATGACCTACATACGCAACGAGCTGCGAGAAAGGGCATCGACGTCAGTCGCGCTAGCCCCGGGTTCCTTTATGTCGCGTCGCGCGGAGAGGGAAATTGTTGGGCCTGTTGAAAAAAAAAGGGTTCGCGTCGGTCACCGGCTTCCTTTGCATGCCAAAATTCCCGCGCTCGTTCGTATTACATTATGAAGAAAAGCCGTGAGAAAGAGACTCGGAGCCCGGAGTTGTGCGTGCATCGAAAATTTCTATGCTAATTTCCGCGATATGCCAGAGTTTCCTACGCGTTATTGTTAATTCGTGTAATTAAATTGAGCATACAAGAGTTCGCGCTAAAGTACTGTACTTAAATTTAATTAATAGTATACTCATTATATATTTAGACGCGCGGGCGCGTGATATTTATGATTTTAATGTATTTAAATATAGAAATAATTAAGATTAATGTTTCCTTTTAATATATGATAAGTACCCTTGTTTAAGCACATTCGTGCATATGATCTGTGTTTCAGGAGTTACGTTCAAGGCGCACAGGTTAATTCTCGCAGCTTGCAGTAAGCACTTTCAGGAGCTCTTCGAAGGATTGCCGCTTTCTCCCGCGGGACTGATCGTTATTCTCGATGGGACGAGTGCCGACAATATGGCGGCTCTCCTCGAATTCATGTACCGTGGCGAGGTACACGTGTGCCAGGAATCGCTCAGCTCCTTCCTCAAGGCGGCTGAATGCCTTCAAGTATGCGCCTGTCTTTTTTTTTCGTAAATAATGACCTTAAATAATGTTCCTCGAATATAATTGTACACGTGGTGCGCAACGCTTCCAGATACTATTTCGGCGCCTCTAAAACGTGTTTAGCTCTATCTCTATGTTTCATTTGTACTGTGTAGAAGAGCGAGAAGAGTTAAATCATTTGTCAAATTCTCTTCCAAGTTGTCGCTTATTGTCAGACTCGAATGTTTCAATTCAGTATTTTTTTAAATTTTATTAAATTTTATATTTATAATCTAAACAGAGCAGATAATATTAATGCTATATATATACGGAATATTTATTAGCACAGTCGACGATATTCTAATGAACGTGTTAAAAAATTTGAATTAATTATTTGTCGTAAGATAATTTTATATCCATGATATATTTATACAATTCTTTCTACAAACTCCATTCAGGTTAAGGGTTTGTCGATCGAACATGAGAAACTGGCTATGGCGCAGAGGCACGCCGCGGAGGGAAGCAATACCTCCGCGGATGTAGAAAGCAGCAGCGCAGGCAGGGCTGGCAGTAACGATACGATCGAGGGTAGCGTCGATAGCAGTAACGTGGCTGGTATCATCGGTAATGGGGATGGTGTCGGCGATGCGACCGATATGAGCGAGGCCGGCGAGACCACAATGCACAAGAACAATATGAAAAGGACCGGGGCGCCGTCGCCCACCCCAACGTGTTCAGTGCCCAACATGTACTCGAGCTCTCACTACTACGAGAGCCTGCCGAAGAAGCTGATGAGGTAAGGATGATGTATTTTTTATCGCGACGCGGCCGAAGAATCTGCGACGGGATCTTCTATGGGAAAGTCGGAAGCGCGCGACAACCATAGGCGAGAGAGTAGCCTTCTATGTTCTAACGATTTTAGCGATGACGTATGTGTGACAAGTCGCGGACCGGGAAACGAAGTGAATTTTTAGACTCGACTCGCTAAAAGATTTCGTTTTCCGTTAGCATCGAGATTAGCATTTCGCCGAATCGAAGTTTTTCGCGCGATAACGTGCGAGAAAATGGCGTCGTCTTCAGCATTTTTTTTCGTTCGCGCCACGTCAATTTCCGGGATCTCCGATTTCCATCTCGCTCGTAATACGCGTGTTTATCATATAAAATCCGCACCGCGCTATACATATTTTTCACTGATTACGCACGCGCGAAATTCTCTGAGTTGCAACCGCATATTTTTAGATCGCCGAGCGACATCGACACGTTAGGAAGAGCGAGCGTATTGCGCGACGGCGCTGCCTTCCGGCCAGCGTCTGCTCCGCATGCGCTTCTGCTGGAGAACCACTTCTTTCAATCGTTCACTCATCCTTCTGAGACTCGCTTGCATCCTCATACCGCGCCTCATACGCCCACGGAATTGGAACAACAATCGGAACGAGCGCGGTCCACGGAACACAGCAACTGTGATTCCAAGGAGAACGTTGCCGAAGGTGAGAAAGGAAAAAAAATAGAGGGAGAGATCTTTTGCGATCTTTTCTCAGCTCGATGTAAAATCGAGTTAAACGAGACGGATTTACGCCAGACAGAGAAACTTGTGCTCGCAGATCTTCGAATAAAGCAAGAGCCAGTAGTACTGACCGATCGGGAAAGGGCGGAAAGGCTGGCGGAGAGACTGTCCGGCGAGGGTTATCCTGGACGGGGTTTCGACGCCAGTAACTCGTACGGACCGAATACGGATCATCTGCTGCACAGGGCACAGCTAAGTCCGGCGATGGTGCCGATGCCGCCGACTCATCAGACCACACCCGATCAAAAACCCATATGGCCCACGAAGATCAAGACCACTGTCTCTATCGACGGCGGTGAGTGTCATTTATTGTCTTTGTCTTTTTTTTTTTTATCACGAGGTGTATCTACGTGGTACTTTGCGAAATTACGAGTTAAATTCAGCGGAGATCCGAATCAACGAGAGCGCAAAGCGTAGTAATTTTACGCGCTCTGCGTTTCCAGTCCGTCCAACTGGCGGATATTTTGGATACGATCTTTCTTGTTCGCGTCGAAATTACTATTAGATCGCAAGCGCTCGCGGTTGAGAGATAACGACGCAGCTGAGTCTATTGACACGTGAAATCAAGGATGATGTAGCGAGTGAACGGACGGGCAAACTTTGCAGGTTTGTTGAACCTCGCGCACGCGCGAGCGCGCTCTGTTCCTGTGTACCACGTGTATTTTGATTCATCGCCAAAATATACAGCGCGAGCGCGATTAGTAGATGTCTTCGCTTATGATTCTTAAGTAAGATTGATCAGTCGACCGGCAGGCAATATAATATTTAAATATTTCTCAACGTTCTCTTTCGGAGACTCAGCGATCTTTCTCTCTCAAAGTGGTTCCGATACTCTATCTGGTTCGACGCGTCGGGTAGAAACCCATACTGGGAGTTACAAAATGCACAAGCAGTTGCATCATCGTTGCTGCACGTGAGACCTAACTATCTGTGGATGTTGCAACTGCCGCATTCCTCGTTCTTCTATCGTCTCTCGCTCTCTTCTCCGCGGCGAGAGATAAAACACGGTGCATCGTAAAAAGAAGTCTGCTTAATTAGAAGTTCTCCGACAAATTTAAAGTTTACGAAAATTTTTTCAATTTCTTAATTCTCGTAAAAATGAAAGAGAGAGAGAGAGAAAGAAAAAAATCAATTCGGGAGCGATCAAAGAATTAGCAACTGAAGGATAACGCGACGGTTTTCGGGACAGTTTCGTGTAAATCTTTTTTCGTCCACGTGTACGTCAATCTCCGCTTCGGCGACGCTCTAACGTGTAGAAAGAGAGAGCGACGACGACGTGGATTCGACGGGGGCCCCCGTCCGAGCCCCGTCCATGGTATGCCTTACGACTTGCCTTCACGGTGTGAACAAAGTGTACAAAGAGGATGCAGGCGACACGGTGCAGCCACTGGGAACATCTTTTGCTCCGGCGAGCAAATCACCGAGCGTGACGTTACGACGACGACGCCGCACGTGAAACACACGGGTAACACGCCGATGGGCTACCAACACCAACAAGGTGATCCACGGCGTCAGCGTCGCGACGGCGACTCGTGTTTGTCACACCGCGGACATTTTTAATCGCCCGCTCGCCCGCCGCAAAGAAAGTAACGAAGCGTCAACTAATGCAACGGTTATTGACATTAGGCCCGCAGAGGAGAAAGGGCAAAGAAACGGGGGCGCCGCCCGGGGCGATGGGGAGAATAGCTCTGTGCACGTTAAACGTGCTCAGGGAAGAGTGAAAGAAGTAGTCGCTGATAGGCCGAGGAGGCTATTTATTAAATGTACCAAAGTTTCGGAGCGCGTCCATGCGATCATTTCGAGAGAGAGTTCTTCTTTGCACTTTCAACCACGTGTGTTACTCTGCAATCTTCAAAGATATTTTCTCTAGCGTCGCGTTACACGTTAGAAGGAAGAAAAAAATTAGTTGTTACCGTCACGTCGTGAAAGTAACGAGATGTGACATTAAAACAAAAAGATCTCGTTACCGCTCTTAAATTATTCAAAAGTCGTGCGGACAAAGACACAGAAGCAACGAACGTGAATCTTTGAAAAGGCACGTTATATAAAAAAAGTAGAATGACGCGCTTCTCGGGTCTGTTGCGCTTAATGTAGGTGTGACCGTGGCCCAAGTAGTAAGCCGAAGAGAGCTCTTTGAATCGCGCGCGAGGAGAGAAATGCGGCGAGAACGCGCGGTGAGAAAAATCGTGACCGTCGCATTGTTGAGTTATTCTATCGGAGTACAGTTATGCTTACCGAGAGACCGTCGTTACTTTTTGTTAGATCCTCCGCGAGAGATGTTAGAAGCCGTATCTCGGCTCGGTTAGCCCGATCATCATCTCGGCGTGGAATTTATGCGACGTTGTTGCGCAAACTATTTGGCGAGGAAGAGAGCTAAGCATGTGGCCTGGTTGTGCCTCGCGTCTCTATAGATTTTTATTTTATAAAATATTCTCACACAAGCAACTTCGCGAATTAAAATTACTTTTTATTGCTCTCTGTCCGCAAAGTGATACGCTTAACGGTTAAGAACCGACGTTTTTCGGCTTCTCGCATGTACTGTAATTCTAAATGGTTATTCGTATTAGAAATGTATATAAATTAATCACTCGGCGTAGAAAGCATTCGAGTGTCGAGGTTAAAAACCTCAATAACAGCCTATCATCTATTCTTAAATAGTGTGTACTTTGATTGTTTGGGAAAGATACAGAACTAATACTTTTTACATTCCTTTTGTAAACCGTGTCGTTTGATCTTGCCGCTGATTGCATTTGTTGAAGAACGATCATACCGGTAGATGAATTATAAGATCAGCACTGAAGTAAAACCACAAGCAAACACTTCGAAAGCGTCTTACTATTGTATATACTTCATTTTTCTTCTAACGTTTCTTGTTTTAATGTTTCTTCTAACATCTACAATACTTTCTCTTCACCTTTCGAGAATGCTGTTGACTTTCTATTGCGAACAAAGTTTCATGTTTTCATAGACTTTTGGTAATTATTTCACGGTAGAACTTGAAATAATAAAAAAAAAATAAGATTCTAATTTGCATTTTTAAATTAAATTTTTTTTAATTTGTTAAAATTGTGAATTTTATTATTTAAATAAATTATACACACAATTTTTTTCGATACAAGAATATAATACGACGACTCTTCAGTGAAACATTTTTGTCTCACTTGGAAGAAAATTCGATATTCATTTTCCAACGCTTGAACATTATTCATACTGTCCTTCCGAATTCATTATTTATGCAATTATTACATATCAATTGCAATGAGAGTTCGACCACTCGCGGCGAAGTCGAACTCTATTAAAGCAGTAGAAAAAGTGACAGGATAGTTGGACGATGTATGAAATGACGCGGAAAGTAGGAGGGCTCTCGAGGGAGCTAAACTATGCTCAGTCCGTTCTTTCGAAGCGAATGCTTAACATTGCTTATAATCGCTTTCTCGCTACCCGTGCACCTCCGCGATGGACACATAATACATTTCTTAGACGATGACACATGCGAGAATCGCAGAATACGCGTTTATCTCCCTTGCTCGTCTCGCTGAATTATTAACAAAGTTTTATGCGTGGGTGAGTAGTTGCAGACGGTGCAGTTGCATCGACACGTGCGCGTTCACACACACACACACACACATATGCACGCAGACATATATAGATACATTTGTCAGTCTCGCCTCCCTCGGCTGGTTTTTTTCTCTTTTTGTCTCCGTTTTTCTTCCTCTCTTTTTCTAACTTTCTTCGCGGACTTTCGTGCAACCCTTCTGCAATTTCGCGCAGGTACCTCGTAAAAGTTTCAGTCAGACGACGAACTTGGGCGAGAAGAGGGAGGGAAAGAGAGACCTCGTGCAGCACAAATAGCGACTCGCTTTCAATCATTAATCCGTCATTTCCGAGTATTAATTCGATATACGACTGGATGACGACCTCGTGTCGCCGAGGAAGGCACGAAAGATCGCTTGACGGAGGCAAATATTGTCAGCGATTGCAAGGGGGCGCGTTTATAGGAAATGCTATCGTCAACATAGCTGGAGGGTGTCCTTATAGATATCTTTCTTATTGATGATATATTTCCAGCTACACGTGGTTAACTCTAAAAACGGATCATCAGATGTATTTCAGTATTTTCATATTTTATTAAACCGTAGAATTCAAAGTAAATATCATATATATATATTTTTGTAATATTACAGAATTACACTTCTTCTTTCTCTACAATTTTTTCGAAAAGAAGTCTAGACATCAATCATTTTAAGTGATTAATATAATTGAGAGAAAATACGGATCTTTTCATTTAGATTTAATTAATTTTAATTAGATATTGCAAAATTTGAATAAAGTAACTTTAGCATTATGAATTATGTGTGAAGATATATATAAAAATGATAATCTTTTTCTATTTTTCCAATTAATTTTTGACACAAAATCTTTTCACAAAATATATACGGACACAAAGACAATTTTCTGAAAATAATTATACATTTTGATATTTTTAAATTCGATGAAACATATATATAGAACGTTATTACTGTGATTATATTCAAATTATTGTTCTGGTTTCAACTCGTTTCGCATGTTTAAAATGCACGCAAGAGTTTTCATTACATGCCATTTAAAAAAAAGGCCGCTCATTCGGCTGGTAGCTTCTTAGAAGCGATTAGATGTAATTCAGCCTTGCCGCGGCATTCTACTGTCGTCGTCACGAGACCTTCCATCACCGAAAATTGTTGCACAAGAGGAATGCGAGGCCTTCGCCTGTTGCGGCAATGCGAAAGTCATGCAACCGCGCCAGCTTTCCTTCCTACGTGGTTGATTATGCATCGACTCCGTTACATCATACGATCTCGAGATTAGTATGAAAGTAAATGCACGTTCTATTTTTACGCACTTGCAATTCGGATTAATCGATTTCATCAAAGTTGATAAAGTCAAAAGTTGATAAATCGATAAACGCGAATCACGCGTTCCATCGTCACTAGAAGATATAATGAAATCATTCTACTGAATTTCTTCAATTTTCGACTTAATCAACCGGGATTTATTTTTATTTGCGATGCAAAACTGAAATCGCGAATCGATCAACCGGTCCTTTCTACATGATACTGCCGATAAAAGTAGCTATTTCCGAGACGTGAGAAAATAGCGGGCTCCCTCCGAAAACAAGGCAGCGGATCCCTCATGAGTTATGGGTTTAAGCTGTTTGGACGTTCCCGAGAGAGGATGCGAAAGGCTAGAGCCTGCTATGTGTGTCATGGTCAGGCGCGGTGTTTTAGAAAGAGAGTTAGAAGAGCGTGAGCTGGTGCT